TAAGTGGACAGAATCTAATACTTTGGTAGTATGCTTGCTTGCCTTCACTTATATTCTATAGACACTGACAAGATTCAATACTCCGTCATTCAACAGTATGTTTTTGCTAATCAGGTATATTTTAACCATCCAATTACTTAGGAGCATGCATGGAAAAATCCAACAGGATTTATTTCTGAATAAACGCAAGGCTGTAAGTCTTATTATTTATAAGATAACTTATAGGCCAGCTGGGTTGAACTGTGGGGTAAAGATGAAATGAATAAAATGTCTCAGTAAATGAATGCAAAGAAACTGATGTGAGGGATCAAACTGTTGGATTCACATACATGGTTAAATACAATCAAACAAATCAGGAGTAAATATAATTAGTAATGTTGCAAATAGCTGAATCAGGAAAACATAAATTTGAATTTGTGCAGATGGAATCAAATTATGAAAAGTCAAACGCCCTCCCACCGTACCACTAAATTAGTTCCAGATTAATTTGATGGATTCTCTGGGTTTGGAGTTATTTGCAACCTGTACAAAGAATATTGAATTTCAGTGTAGGCATTTTCTTCCTAAACTGGTAATTTGTTAATGTTAAAAATCACATTTTCTTATTGGGTAGAAACAAGGGAAGGGCACAAGCAAGAGTTAAAAACTGGTCTTTCCAAATCTGCAAAAATGCATAAAGAATGCCAAACACAAAATGGCATGCTTTTTCAGCAGATCTTAGTTTAGTATTCTGCTGTTATGGATACAGAAGAAAAGCAAGAAGAATTCATCTAGCAATGTTATACATCAACAGTTTTTAATGCATTCTGTCATGTCACCAGCAGCTGTGGTTGCCTCTTTCAATTATATCAGGACCCAAAATAGAACACGTGGAGAAATGAACTATATTAGGTGGTTCACCCAGTATATTTACAGACTGCAAATAGGGTTTTCTAAGAGGTTGAGATGTAATCAGCTTCCTTAAGGTGATTCAAACTCAGTTTAACTTAGCTGTAAGTTAACCTGCAAATGTGTAAATGTATTCAGATAGGAGAAAACAACCGTGTACTTTCTTCATGACAGATGATGACGATTTAATTTGAAAGAAGCAGGAGAATTTGGATCTAGACTGGAGGAGACTTGGTTGGTTATTTCTGTGCAGGGTTGTTAATCTAAATCTGCGTATGACATTGAGTTCCTTGCTACCTCATAGCACTCTGGGCTAAAAGTCCTCTGTCCTCCCATTGCTTTTTTTAAATGACAGCATTACTTTCTAACTAATTAGCAGTGATCAAGATGTAGACTGCAATGTGACCCAAGGTGGCTAATATCCTTGGTGTCGATGTTGTTAAAAAGAAAACAGATGAAATGATAGAAAGAGAACAAATGGCAGTGGAAATGCAGAAGAAGGCAGAATCAACTATTGTGAAGCAGATAGTTTTACTTCTCAGACCTGTCTGACAAACTGAATCTGACAAAATCTACCCTCTCCTTGCTGCCAATTATTGAAATATAGTGATCTCAGTATTGTAATGTGGGAACTCCATCATGCTAACATTTAAAAACAAGGGAAAACAAGGATATCTTTTTCAATCATTCATTTATTTAAAACTTTTGTAGACCGTCCCATTACTGAAGTCTCAGGACGGATTAACGATACAAAATGTTTGGGTTTTTTTAAGCATCCTAAAATTTAGTCAGTAATAAAACCCCAATTAAAACAGTCAGGTCTTAAAACATTGGGAAAATAAGAAGGTTTTGGCCTGGTACTGAAAAAAATAAAGTGATGGCACCAGGGGAACCTCTCTGGGGAATGAATTCCACAATTGGGGTGCCACTGCAGAGAAGGCCCTTCTCTGGTGAGCCACCCTCCTAATCTCCTTCAGGGAGTGCACCTGGAGAAGGGTGTCTGCCCCAGATCTTAAGGGATGGGCAGGCACATAAGGAAGGAGATGCTCCTTCAGGTAACCAGGTCCTAAGCCATTTAGGCTTTATAGATCATCACCAGCACCTTAAATTGGGCCTGGGCTTCAACTGGAAGCCAGTGTAGGTAGAAAGGGACTGACGTTATGTCTTTATACCTGCCGGTCCCTGTTAACAACCTGGCAGCTCTATTCTGGACCAGTTGAAGTATCTGGACCATCTTCAAGGGCAGCCCCACGTACAGCATGTTATAGTAGTCCAATTGGGAGGTTACCAGGGCATGGGTCACCACTGCCAGGCACTGCCCATCCAGATAGGGGAGCAGTTGATAGATCAGCCAAAGCTGAAGGAAAGCACTCCTTACCACCACTGCCACCTGGGATTCCAGGGACAGCTCTGGGTCAAGGAGCACCCCCAAAATGTGCACCCTGTCCTTTAGGGGGAGTGCAACTCCATCCAGAGCAGGGTTAGAAACACCTACCCAGGAGGCTAAACTGCCTACCTTCGTCATGTCTGGATTAAGCTTCAATTTATTGACCCTCATCCAGCCCATCACCCCAGCTAGGCACAGGTTCGGGGCCTCCACTGCCTCACCTGGATTCTATGTAAAAGAGAGGTAGAGTTGGGTGTCATCAGCATACTGATCAGCAGCCAAGAAAGGCAAGGGTTGAGTAAGCAAGTTGCAGGCCAGACAAGTCCAAGCACCTTGTCCATGTCCTCAGGCTGCAACAATTGAAACTCATCCAACAAAGATGGACTGGACAACATTCTGGACACCTCCCATACAATTTTGACTGTTGCTTTAGTTTGGAAGGAATTTTTGATTGCTGATTTCATTTTATACAGGTTGCCTTTTTTGGGCAATTAATTATTGAGCTATTGTCTTTCACCGCATCCACTTTCCCCCAGACACACACACATACACATGGAATGTGGTCTCCCATTCCATGTTTGGCCATAACCATAGGATCCCATGCACAGAAAGAATCCTACTCTTCCAATACTCCTTCCAGATTGGAATTCAGCTGTCAAACTGGGAGAAGAAAGGAGGCCAGACAGTTTCTCTCTAAGCATGTCAATGAGCTTATCTGTGTTGTTTGTGGAACCTCCCAGTCTACTGCTTATTTTAACGGCTTCTGGCCTGAAAAGCTGTCCTCATGATTCTGGAACTTGTCTGGAATTAAATAGGTTAAGATTTATGGTAGAATCTGTGTTTTAGGATCACTGTAGTATGCACTTAAGGAGCTCTTGGACGAAATGGCCCCAGTGGATGCTCTTTCTAAGTGGAACCACCATTACTTTATCATTTCATCAATTTCAGTACTGTACCTTAACTTTTCCTCTTCCCCTGGACTTTATCTACATGGCTGACAAGTGGGATAAGACTGGCTGAGTGAACGTTGTTGTTCTTCCTTCTTCTGCTACTGTTCGTTTGTTTAGAGGAGAGAGATGGCCAAACAGTAAAAGCAAGGGGAAGGGAAAACAAGTCCAGCAGTTTCAGGAGATAGCAGGAAACACTCCTGCAAACATTTGGGCAAATTTCTGGCCTCTAACATCAGCCCTGACCACTTTCTAGGAAACTCATTTCACCAATCTTATTCTTCAATGAATCAATAGACTCTACACTATGGGGTTTTTATTTTATTTTGAAATGTTGTACACAATGAAGTAACTAGGGAAGAGCACTGAGGAGATGACTGCTGGGAGTGAAAACATGGATTTTTGCAGTAATCAAATCTTGCACACATAGGTTCTTGAATTGGCTCACAATAAGAAGCAAATTCTAACTCTATTATCAGGTAAGCTGCTTTGATAAATGGTGAATTTTCTGCCAAACACCCATGAGGCACAAGAATACTGGATTAACAACTCTAGTGTCATGCTGTCAGCTACTGTTTATTTAAATTAAAATGTCACTACCCAGAAATAAATTAGGAAGCTACAAAATTATGGATTTCTGTCACTCTGTGTCCTCACAAGCCATATAATAAAAGTGATTCTGTTTCATTTGTACTGTATTGCTTCCTAGGAGATTAGGTTCTGATGTATCATTAAACTCAGCCCCAAATTGGAAACATTATAGAATGTGGCTTCAGACACCAGATAGAACCTGGTCATTATCCCATATGATATAAAACTGTCCTCTCTAACAGTGCTCCTGTCCTTAGATGTGAACCACACCTGTTTTACCCTCCACCTTCTTTATCCTGCCCTACCACAAACAGTAGCACTGATCACAATCTTCTAGTTAAGAATGTGTAATCCAACATGTTGCCAAAATACATAGTTAAATCAGACATTTGGCTGCTGTGGGTGAGGTGCAATGTTAATAGTCCCTGTATTGATCTAAACCCAAAGACGGGAGAACAAGTGAAGTTCCAGATGATTGGGATTATCCAAATATCATCTCACTACTGTTCTCATGCCTGATTGCTGCTTACACTTGTGATCACTGTTTACTCAGAAAGAAAGAGAAAACTGTGAAAATGAAGCAATGGTCAAACATGAGATTTGCACAAATTTCTCCAATTTACACAAGTGTCCTCATTTGCACAACTTTCAGCCACAGTCTAAAATTGTTCTGATTCAGTTGACAGAGAAATTAGTAAATTACTGGAAATGTACAAATTGAACATGAGCGCATGTCTGGAAAACTGAGAACATTTTCAGTGGATATGAGCTTACAATCATGTTTGGGGCTTTCAACAAGGCATGACCATGTGTTTTATGAGCAAAAATTTAATTCTGATACATGCCTGTTTAGAACTAGCACAACTGGGCTTCTTGTACGTATGGCACCAGCTCAATATGGTTTACCGGTTAAGTGCCAGAGCATGGACCTTCTGTACAGAAGTTACACATTCAACTCTCATTCTTGCCATCTAAAATGATCTTAGAGTGGCAGCCTAGGAGAGAATAAAAGATTTTCTGCCAGTCAGAGGAAGATGTACTAGAGCTAGATGGCCCATTAGCATAAGCCAGTTCAAATGTACAGTTTTATACTGAAAAGAGGAAAAAGAGATAATTCTCATTAGAGGACAGGCAACCAAGAAATTTTAGAGAAAACATCAGAGTGTGGAGAACACAGAGATATTTACTTTTCCAGTTTTTCCATTTTCACACAAATATGCTTCATTCCCTGATGCAAGTTCGGGAGCGTTGTCATTCACATCGAGAACTTTGATAGCAACAGGCACTCGAGATATTTGACTGGGGTTTCCTAAGAGAAGAAAAACAGTATGAAAAGGGAGAGAAATGTAAGGACACTTCATTTCCTACTAATGCCATAAAGGAGCTAAGATAGGCAGACACTTCCACGGTGAAAACTTGCTGTTCCTTTTCTACTTCTGATAATTGGGCAGCTTTATCTAACAGCAAGGGGTGGGTGGGGGAATAAAGAAGAATCAGCAGTATTTCACAAAAGAGAGATAGCAAATAAATCCTTATTGCACTGAGTGATTGCTAGAGATTAGCTTGATGAAGACCTTCTTGGACTAAATTGGTATTTTCCCCCCTGATGTAGGATTGTTTTATTGATAAAGGGCATTCTGCATGAGAAAAAGAGGCTGCAAACAACCAAGATTTATTTTGTTTCTTATCTTTGCCATTTTACTCTATTAGCCAGTCAGCTGCACATCTATTATTTCAGCTTGGCATAAAACAGAACACACTGAGCAAAATTCCAAATTCAGAATGTAAGTGTATATTCTGAGATTCTTAGAAATCTGACTTTGAATGCCAAATGTTTCTGCATAAATGGAACAAAGACTTTATGCCACATTTATACCCACAATTTATTGTATATATCTTAATTGATAGTCCAGCCCCTATGCCTGTTCAGAGGCAAGGCCTTTCTCCTCTATGAGATGTATTCCCAACAACCACCTAATTCTTTTTTTCTAGTTTGTAATCCTTTTAAATAATCAAATAAACAAAATCTCCACTGTTTTGGTAGTTTTGGTATCTGTCCTTCCTAATCCAGTTATTTTCAGTCTATAATCTGGCAAATGATAGATTCCTCAATAAGATCAGCAACAGCAGACCAACCTTCCCAAAATATGATTTGCGGCAAATAAGAATTTGCTGGAGACATGGCAATAACAGAGCAAAGCTGCTCCTTGTATTATGGATATAGTTTAAGATTTTATCGTGCTAGAAATCAGGTTTTTGGATCATATAATAGCTATGGCTGGCTATAAACTGCTCATAGACCAATTAAGTATTTCTGTTCAAACAAAATATGCAAGGAAATATGTAGAAATTTTAACGTGGATTTTTATGTTAAAAATACAGACTGATCCAGTAGCAGGATGGAATGAACTGAGGCAAAATAATATGACACCATTTGAAACTGACCATTTCATCTTATTATATAGCTGACAGGGCAACTCTTTTTTCTTCCTACCTTATTTTTGGGACTGTGTGTGTTGGGAAAGCAACATAGTCCCAGTCAGTGACAAGTGATGCTGCATTGCTGCCTGTGGTCCTAAATACATGGACGTGAATTGTTCTAAATTCACCAGGGACCTCCAGATTGTGTTGGGATGGATTGGGACTGGTTGAGTACTTCAACATGTGAAGGAGCACAGGTTTCCCCAGCCGTGATCTAAGGAAAGCAGCTAGGAACTGCATTAAATGCCATGGGTCTACTTCAGAGTATAAATACTCTGAAGGTTGCAGTCCAGCCTGGCACTGCCATTCAGTATTCAGCAGCATGGTGGAGCATGCACAAAGCAACTTTGATGCAAACTGCTTAGTATCTAAAAATATGGTACATACTGTACCAGGCAAATGGATAGGATGTGTTACTCTCTTGCCACTCATGTAAACTAGGTATGGGGGAAACAGGAAGGAGTGCATTTGCTAATATTGGTTTCTCCCACTGTCCCACTGGCAAACAAAAATTCTAGACATTTTCGACCTGAATATAAATAAATTTGCAAAACAGGCTGAAATGAAATCCTTGCCCATTTTCCCTTGCTAGTACCAGCTATTTACAGCTTAGAAACATAGAAATATAGAAACAGAAGGGGTCTCCTGAGCCATCTAGTCTGACCCCCGGCTCTAGCCAGTTCCACTCATGATATGTGCATGTCCAGCCTACCATGTGCAAGTCCAGCCTATCCTTGAACACCCTCACTGATGGGGCCTCAACCACTTCCTGTGAAAGCCCATTCCATACCCTTGGGGTCCTAACTGTCAGGAAGTACTTCCTGGCATCCAAATTGAACCTTGGTTCCCTGAGCTTTGCTTCATTGGAATGTGTTCTGCCCTCTTGCAGGGGAAAACAGGTCTCTACCCACCTCTGTGTGACACTCCCTCTTGTACCTCATGTAGCTTGGAGAAGAACATGTTGTAACTGCCTGAATCTTTTAATGAATGATGAAATATTACTGTAAATTGTCTTTAAAAGGAGGAGGCAACCTTAATTGAACCCTCAGGTAACTGAAGAGAGAGGGATTCAAACCTCAGACTTTTAAGTGCTAACAGTCAAAGCCCTGAGTATAGACGGATTATATTGTCAGTTTCAAGTTATTTCACATTCCATTTTAAAATAAAAACACATTTTTAAATCTTGAATTTTTACAAATTTGTTAATTTAGGTAAATTATTATCAAAATTGAACTGAACTGAAAAAAATATTTCACATATATACAGCCCCCCAGCTAGAAAGGATCTCTAGATGGTATACAGAGTTTAAAAATATAAGTAAAAGCTGAAAATATCAATATCACAATAACAACCAATAATGAACAGTAAATAATTCCAAGACAGTTCGTCAAATTACAGGTAAAGCATCAGCATCTAAGAAAAGTTTCTTAAAACTGCCACTTTAACTATTTAAATGCATGGATGTTTTTAAGAGATTTCCACCCCCTGCCAAAAGGAAGAAAAAAAGTAGGCACCAGGCAAACCTCTCTGGGATACCATTCCAATGATGGGGAATTATGTAACATGGAAACCATGACATGTTCATAGAAGGAATTTTTAAAACTGGTCAGACTTTTTATTTGCTCTCTACCGCTGAACCTTGGTGAAATGTTTTCTCCCATGGTGCAGAGCATGAGAAGCTACCTTTTACTGAGATAGAGTATCTCTTCATCTAACCTCATATTGTCCTTTCTGACTGGCAATAGTTCAGACTGGTCACCAACTTAAACATCTTGAAATAGGTGGGAGAAATTCCAGGAGAACAAGGTTGTCAATGGCTCCTTATTATGACTCTTGCTGGTATCAGAGACTGTATGTATCTCAATAGTAGTTATTAGGGAATGTGAGCAGAAGAATTCTATTGCACTAATATCCTGTTAGTAGACCTCCCACAACTGAGATCACAGAATCATAGAATGGTAGAGTTGGAAAGGACCAGTAAGGTCATTGGGTCCAACTCCCTGCTCAGCGCAGGAACAATCCTAGGATTTTCTACTTTTGATGTATATGCTGTACCACTGCAGATGGTCCTTCATTCCAGAACTGATTCCATACTGATTATTTCCAGGGAAAAGAGTAAATGAATAAAATACCACTTAGCCACCACCTACCCTTGCTTTGTCTTCGTGTTTGTGTGATGTGCATGCAGTAATTTGACTAGGAAAGCTTGCTAAATTGGGTGTAACAGATAAATTTAGCCAGTCTTAAAATTCACAATTTGTCACATGAGTCAGCCAGCTTTCATGTCATGAATTGGCTTCCCTGAAGTGATGTGTGCATTTGACATGGAACAATAATGCACTATTTGTTGGGGGTGGGGATACAGCTGCATGCAAACTAAAAGTTTAAAACATTTCAAGCACAATTGCTTTATCTGAACCATAAAAAATACATAAACAATGAAGACATTGGATTCTCTGTGCCAAGTGACACATTTAAATACTAAGAATTTCCTTTTATTTAAATGAACAGAAGGATGGTAGTTCAGATTTTAGAGACATTAGAGAGGAATGTAATTAATTAGATAAGCTTCTGAAGAAATTATTCATGCCTCTTGTGACTAGCCCCATAATGTTTGTCTTTCATGTGAAATACAAACATTAAACCTAAAGATATTATAATTAGAAACTTGATGAGAATTCATTAAAAGCATAATTTGCTAAACACCAGAGAAGAACTCACTGAGTTTGGAAATCTCCAAGAAGGGGATATCCCTTGATGATTAGCTGTACACTTCATACTATGGTTCCAATGGTTTGCGTGTTCATTTGCTTATTTGTTTTGACTGTGCAATAGTTATTTTTTACAGAGTTGAGCAATCCGCAGCAAGGGTTTCCAAACGTTTCAGTTCAGTTAGAACATTTGGAATTGGAGAACCTGAGTACTCTCAGAGTGGCTGCAATGAGGTTGCTTTCCTGTTCATACAATGGCTAGCATAGTGGGTATGACTAGACATATAGCATTCCTTTCCCATATAGAAAAAGAAGTCTTTCAAATCCCAGCATTCCTCTGGCAGACATTATAGGAATTCTAGGACATGCACAGGATTGCACACACTGGCACATGCACACATGTATATATGTAAAACAGAATTAGTCCCATGGGAAGGTCACTGAGAAAAGCACCCAGTCAAGCACTTTATTCAGACCCCCTATTTCTCATCAAGGAATTAAACTGAATACTGCACTGCACTACAGTGATTTCATACACACAGCTAACAGTCATAGGAAACTACTTTGGATTCTCTGAGAACCGAGAAATCAATTTGGTTAGTGCTCTTCAGATTTGTTGAATAGCAATTATAGGCTCACACCTATATTTGCATAAGACGTTTATGGCCGAGACAGTAAAATTACCTGAGGCTGCATTCATAATTTTGCCCAAAGTGAATTTACATTTCTTGTGACATAATTACAATAGACAAATCTGTCGAGTTCATTGTCTTGTGCATTTCAGTTTTTAAAATTTCAATATCTTTGCATTAACAATGGTGATTTTTGGTCTATATTTGTCAAAGCCTACCTCAAATGAAATTCTGGCCCATCTATATTGTCCAAATCCAATAGGTAACATCTATTCACTGCATGCAGTAACCTTGTTGCATGTACCTGAGATATAACTATTAAAGATTAGGAACTTGTAAAAGAAAAGTGGATAGTGTAGTCCCAATTCAACTAAAATGGTTGAATAGACAGAACTTTAAAGCCAGAATTTTAAAAGCTAAGTATTTGAAGGCTTTGGGCAGAATGAAAAAAATCTGGCAGATTTTGTTTATTTCACATTCATAAA